CAATCCTGATTCTTGCCTTTGAGCGGTTTCCTGCACTGTTGCCCTGTTTACCATTCGGATGGGAAGTTATCTTTCGAAGATTTTCAGCCAAAGAGCTTCAAGAAATGTAGGCAATCAAAAGAGAACTCGAATATATCGTCGCCCCAGATTAATCTCGCTCACTTTCAGCACTAGTGGAGAAACAGCTCTATCCATATTCACGGCCAGAGTTCCTTTACTTTTCTGAAGACGAGATTATGTTGTCAGCTGATCAGTGCGTTCGTCCTGTTCTCTGTCCAAAATACCCCTCAAAAATGCCTCTATACGCTGGCTACGCAGAGGTTATCAATGCAGGTACTAATGAATTACTATTGTAGTTTTCCAAGTTATTAGTGGAAGTCTTCTCGAACTGTATGCTATTGCTCAGGTAAAACAGTCCAAAATGAGGATCAAGCATCAGCGAGGATGTTGACGTTGGTCCAGCAGGGACATGATGCTGAAGAAGCAAAGGAACTTGAACACTGCCAAACACCGTACGTTTTCACCGTTTTCTCTGTAAGATAAAGTTCAAAAATTATTCCATGAATAATTTTACTAGAGTTAGCTCAGACAACTGGTTTTATGGCTCAAATTTCCTTACAGAAAGTTTAAGCGAGGGAAATAGCCGGAATCTTTCAACTGTTCACGACACAAGTGCACTAGCGCAATCCCAGACGCCAGCACTAGTAAAACCCCAGGAAAAGTCAAAAAATGTTCCTAAACCCTACTTGTGGAAGTTGCTCAGTGCCTTTACAAATAGGCAATCATTTTTTGGCGCCGGTCTCATTTGGCGCATGCCTTTTGTTAATTTGGCACCAAACTACATCATACTCGCGTCAAATGGCGATAACGTCACAAGTGAATGTTGAATCCACTACCGGAGCACCAAATAAACCCAATAAGTAAATATGCGCTAATTTGTTGAAAACAGATCTTATACCAAATAGGCACACAATGGCGTCACACCGAAAACAAATTTCATATTCCTGATCAGGGCGTCAAATAGCTTCTCTACAATAAGTTTGAGCGAAAAATACTTTTTTCAGGTTGGGTGATGTAATAGTGAGGCAGTAGTGCTCCATTAAATTTTTTTCTGAAATTTGTTACAGGTTACCAGTTATAGGTCAACAGTCGTCAAAGCTTCATCAAATGACGACGACGAACTTGTGTCTCCGAGTGGTGGTAGCACGGTGAGTACTGTATTTGATCGGACTGCTGGTTTCCGAGTATTCTAAAAATATATGCCAAATTGAAGGGACGCCCCAAGATATTGCAGTTATTGCAGCCCACGAAAATGGAGGCATCGGTGCGGAGTGGGCCAGCAACAAAGAAAATGAGAAAAGAATAAATTGAAACGCTGTAATTGTGGGCTTCCTTATTTTCGCTGATTGCCTGTGATAAGGCAGTGAGACAATGAGAAGCAGAGGAGAGGATATGGGTGAGAGAGGCAACGGATGAGGTGGCGCAGGTACCCTCATGTTGCAAGTGAAGAAAGTGAAAACTGTTTTGGCAAGACCCTAGCGCCCTTATTGCGCACGCACAGCTCTGGGCAACGGGT